GAGCTCTCTTACGAGAAGAGTGTGTGCAAGCCGGGCTTGCTGGTCGTTCAAGCGAACTTGAAGGGCTTTGCAAAGCCATGGAGAGTCTTGATTGACTCGGGAGCCTCGGGCAACTACGCCCGTCGCTCCACCCTAGAAGGGAGTCAGCTGTATGCTGAAGCACTGGAAGTGCCAACGAGAGATACGATCTCTGTCCGTCTCGCGACGGGGACACTGGTAACTGTGTCGAAGGTATCTGTCGACCTTGGAGTGAAGGTTGAGAACTTCAATAGCGTGGAACGCTGTTTGGTCTTAGACCTGGATGCGAGGTATGACCTCATCCTTGGCATGGCATGGCTGGAACGCCATGAGCCATGGACCGACTGGAAGTCGAAAACGCTGGGTGCGTCGCACCCTGCTCCTAGTGGGGCTTTGGTGAGTCATGAGCCCACCTCTGCTAGGAAGCAGAAGCGCTTGTGGCGCGAGCACGAGGCCGAGGCGGCCGTAGTGCTGGACATCGGTATGTCCGAAATTGTTAGCAACGAGGTTGCTGTTTGCCTTGAGGGCGAACGTGGTGCGGCAGGTTATCCGCTGAGCGGTGCAGGTCAGGTCAATGACCAGCTGCTGGGTCCTGGTGAGGACGAGCGCGGAGTGGCGCGTAACCCACTGAGTGGTACGAATCTGGTCGATGACCTACCGCTGCGTGACCCGAGGGTCGCGGTCGACTGCGACTCGAGGCATCATGGGTGTGGCCCAGGAGATGCAGGTGCAGTGACACCTAGTTCACTGTGTGAAGGTCAAGGACCTCTTGACTTTCAGCCGAGTGTCTTGCGAGACACTGTATCCTCTTCGAGGAGTGATGGTGCTGCTGCACCCGGTGGTGGTGATGGAAATGTCGCCACACCGCCCTCATCCGGCCGGGCTCAGTCGCGGATGGAGGGGAGAAGACGATGCAGGGCGTCTGTGACGTCTTTGACGAAGCCTTAAAGGCAGGCGAGCTAGCCGAGGTGGTCCTGCTGGGACCTGAGGAGGAGTTGAACTCCTCATCCGTCGTGGACGACGCGGTCCTAGAGCACACCAAGAAGGCGCTGAGCGCTAGAAGTGGATCGGCGATCCTTAAAGATCCTTCGGATCCCTTCTACCCGGTGGTGAAGGAGTATGGAGACGTTGTCTCTCGAAAGACCCACCGACGGGCCTGCCTCCGGATCAAGGCGTGTGTCATGAGATTGACCTGGTTCCTGGAACCAAATACTGCGTAAGTAGGTAATGGCCTTTGCCGAGAGAGCAGTGTGACGTCATTGACGCATTCTTCCGTGCGAAGCACGAGGCAGGGATGGTGCGTGAGAGTAAGTCTCCGCACTCGACACCCACGTTCTGTGTCAGAAAGCCGAACGGCAAGTGGCGCATTGTTCATGCTTTTAACAAGCTAAATGCGGCCACTATTCCGGCACAAACGCCGATTCCTCGCAAAGATGTTCTGCAGAACAACATGGTAGGCTGTACGTTGTACAGTGCGCTCGACTTGGTCGATGGTTACTACCAATTGCTTATGAGAGCGAGCGACATTTCGCTGACAGCGGTGAGTACTCCGAGCGGTATGCTCTGGGAGTGGCTGGTCATGCCCCAGGGGCTGTCGAACGCACCAGCAACGTTCAGTCGTCTTGTGACGCAGTTGGTTTAGGCCCCACCGGGCGTACGCTCAGACGTACTTTGACGATAAATTCGTCCATAGTCGTACCGAGCACGGAAAGTCAGACGTGGATAACCACATTGACCACTTGCGAGCGGTGCTCGAGTGCATGCGCACTAATAAGCTGTATGCCAACTTGAACAAGTGCGTCTTTGGCGCGGAGGAAATACCTTTCCTCGGGTGCTTCATTGGGAAGCGGCGGATCCTGCCAAAGTCAAGGCCATCGTGGACTGGCCGGTTCCTAAGAGCCAAAAAGACTTACGCAAGTGGCTAGGCTTAGCCAATTACTTGCATAAGTACAGCGCGAACTACGCGGAGATGGCTCGGCCATTATCAGATCTCCTTAAGAAGGACACACCATGGTGCTGGAACGTCGAGCACGACGGAGCCTTTGAGGCTGTGAAGGAGAGCCTCCTCCAGGCTCCGATCCTTGCGCTACCGGACCCGGATAGTCCGTTTAGCGTCGTCTGTGACGCCTCCGATTTTGCAATCGGTTGTGCTTTACTACAAGCAGACACCGAAGGGCGTGAACGCGTGATTGCGTTTGGGTCTCGCCAGCTCAAAGCTGCAGAGAAGAACTATCCAGTTCATGACAAAGAGCTACTTGCAATGAAGTATGTTCTAGTCAAATTCAGGGTACACCTGCTAGGCTCTAAGCCTTTTATGATCTTTACTGATCATGCGTCGCTACGCACTGCGACACAGTCGCCTAATCTCTCGCAGAGAATGGCAAGATGGCTTTCCTTCTTTGCCGAGTATAACTTCGAGGTGAAGTACAAGCCGGGGCGACTTAATGTAGTGGCCGATACGCTCTCGCGCAGGCCGGACTACGAATTAGCTCATGTCACGACAGTGACGTCGTCAGTGCCTGACTTGATACGCAGGGCGTATGCGCAGGACGACATGTGCGTAGCGCTGCTACGGCTCTTGGGAGCGAGGAGTTTAAAGACTCTGACAAGGAATTGTCTGGGCGCTTACGCGCGAGGCTGCATCGATACTCGCTCGATGGTGGCCTGCTCTACTACAGCACCGATTTTGAGGATAACCCTCGTGTAGTCGTTCCTCATGATGAGGATCTAAAGTAGAATCCTCTTTGAGGTTCATTGTACGCCCGTGGGCGGGCACTTAGGTCGGGAGAAGACCTATGGCTCGGTGAGCTCGATGTACTGGTGGCCCAAGATGTATAAGTGGGTCGGCACCTATGTACGCACGTGTGAGACGTGTCAACGGACAAAGTCCGCGCCGAGCACGGCAGCGCCATTGGTGAGTTTGCCTGTCCCCAAGGGATGCTGGCAGTCCATGAGTATGGACTTTGTGTTTGGCCTTCCCAAGGAAAGGGGGGGACACGGGTATAGTGGTCTTTGTAGACCGATTGAGCAAGATGGTTCATTTAGCGGCAGTGCCGGACACCATTGATGGTGAAGGTACAGCTGTGCTGTTTTTAGACCTAGTCTTTCGCCAACATGGCTCGCCTGAGGCAATTGTCTCGGATCGAGACCCGCGCTTCACCGCGAAGTTCTGGACGTCCCTCTTCAGAGTGCTCGGCACTCGTTTGGACATGTCCACAGCGGACCATCCGCAGACAGACGGTCAGACCGAACGCGTGAATCGCGTTGTGGAGGATACCCTCCGAAGCGTATGCGCTGAGGCGCCAAAACGCTGGAGCCAGATGCTCCCACTCGTTGAGTTCGCATTAAATAATGCAGTGCACGCCTCGACAGGCTACACTCCGTTCTATGTGAACGGCTTGGTTAACCCTCGCGTCCCACTGACGCTGCCACGCAGTGGCTCAGGGCTTGATGGGGGAGGGATAGCCGAGCGACTAGCTGATGTCAGCCCTGTTGCGGTTCGCAAGCAAGTCGATGACTTTGTCTCTTTGAGACTGAGCGTAATGCGTCAAGTACGCGACACTATGGCTGAAAGCTAAGACACGCAGAAGGAACATGCAGATGCCAAGGGCAGAAGCAATGTTGAGACGTTTGAGGTCGGTGACCAAGTTTTATTAAACGCTAAAAACCTACCTACTCATGCAGTGTCTGCAGTCTTTAAGATGAAGTTAAGACCTCGGTTCATAGGACCGTTCAGGGTCGTGACCAGGAAGGGCCTAGCGTATACGCTCAACCTTCCGAAGAAGATGCGCACGCATCCGGTCTTCTATGTTGGCTTGCTTAAGCCATATCAAGACCCTGCTCAAGTGAGCGCGGAGGCGTTGGCACCAACGGTGGCTGGACCACGGACAGCTGCAGGGCAGCAGGTGGTAGAGCCACGGGAGGCTGAACGACAGCAAGTGGTGGATCCACAGATGGCTGATCAACAGGTCGCGGAGCGAAGTGCTCGAGATGCAGGAGCAAGGCAAGCTGAACGTTCAGCCGAGCGACTGGACGCTCAAGGTCCGAGACCTGGTTGTGAGTCAACAGTGGTGGCTCTAACCTATCCACAAGGTGGATCATCTCTTCGAGATCGACCGATGGGCGGTGAACGTTCGCGTCGTGGGCGCCGGCATTGTATGGACGCAGACGCCGTTCCGGCAAGTGCTGACTCTCCCCGCGAGAGCCCAGCTGAGGCAAGGCCTCCTCCTGCTCTGCTCGATGAGCATGGTGAGCTCCACTTTCACGTGGAACGCCTTGTGGTGTGGCGTAGACGCCAGGGTCGTACCCAGTACTTGGTGAAGTGGAGGGGTTACCCTCACTCACAGAACGCATGGGAGTTTGAGGTTATCCTCCGGCAAGATTGCCCTGACGTCGTTGACGCTTACGACCGAGCACATCATGTGCCGAAGCGCCACCATGGCGTGCGACAGCGTCGCCAGGCGCTGGGCGCCTCCCACTAGAGTGGGGAGCGATCAGGTCAGTAGTTGAGCTCAGGCTCTGACCAGTGGCTGCAGCAGCCAGCTCGTACATATGAGCGGTGCTCGCAGCGGGAGCAGGAGGTAGAGAGACCTCGTGGTGATAGGGACATGGTCCCGAAGGAAGCAGGTGCTTCGTGTTGTGCTGAGCAAGGTTCAGGCACAAGCGTCTCGATAGACGCATAGTTATTTTGAAACAACTTGCTTGATGAGCATGATCCAAATGTGGATGCGCTGTAACAGCGAAAGTGGTGTTCCGGACGGGGATCGAACCACTGGCCTTTGGCTTGACAGGCCGGAGCTCTACCATTGAGCTATAAGGGCGATGTTCGTACGTCAGTCCGAGAACGGACTACTCATGGTGCGCCCGGGTGGATTTGAGCCACCGACCTGTGACTTCCAAAGCCAATGCTCGACCACTGAGCTGAAAGGGCGTTGCCCGTAAGCTTGTCCATTCAAGGACAACAGTTCATGGAACGAGAGGGCTGTGCTCTAGTGGGTTCGAACCACCGACCTGTGGCTCTCAAAGCGAACGCTCATCCATTGAGCTAAAAGGGTGTTGCCCTTAAGCTTGTACAAGCGTGAACAATCGTTCATGGAACGAGAGGGCTGTGCCCTGGTGGGTTCGAACCACCGGCCTATCGCTTGTGAAGCGAGTGTTCAGCGCTGAGCTGTTGTCGACGACTCGAATGAGTCAATGGCATTGCTCTAAGCAGTCCGCGACTCTTGGAGTAGGCGCAAGGCGCGAGCGTAGGTCTGAGACCGCTTGGGAGCAAGATGTGCGCTGCACTTGGATCATTGGGCCGTGGGCCGACGACGAGAAGTTGGGCATCAACGATGCGTAGGCGTATGTGAGCTCACGGAGCTGTACAACGCTGGTGTAAGGTGTAGTAAGTAACCTCCGCCGTCTTAACAAGACGTGACCTTGCTGAGGAAAGTTTCGAGAACGGAATGTTCTCGTCTTAGTGGTTACATGGTGTGGAACACACAGGGGTACGAAGTACCCGGAGAGTTAACAAACTCTCAGTACATAAGTTGGAGAGTTGACAAGGTCTCTCAGTACGCTGGCTGAAAGCCACACGTTATGCATTTGATTAGGTTTTACTATGCTAGATAGTTAAAGAGATACATTTACCCCTAGGCGGCTTGGCCGCAAATAGTAAATAAAACACTTCTGGTTTAGAAGCATAAAAGTTAAGGTATTAACTTTGAGCCCTGCTCTTGGGCTGTAAGTGTCCTTTGGATAAGGAGCTTAGTTTTAGTGACTCTTTGAGTCGAACGTCTTCCTCTGACGCTAACGCTACGGCAGCCCCGCTGCACTAGAAGTGACCTGGCGATCTGCGAGAGAGCAAATAGCACTATTTTGACTAATTAAACGTTAGAATTTCACCATAAGACATATTGTATTACGATTAATGCGTCAAAATCAAATGATGGCTCAGAATACACAAATCAAATTGACACAATGTTTTTTGGAGGAAGTCATGTATTACGGTGTCTTTCTGAAACCGTGTTTTGTCTTAAGGGAAGTGGACAATTCGAGGCCGGTTTGCAGGTGCAATTTTCGGAAAGGCACTGCTTCGGACTCGAGTCTCGGAAGTCATAAGTTTTGACAGTTCTGGAAACCTCCGAAATCTTGCTTTTTTAAGGTGGTGATTGGCACATAATATGACAGTGTTGGTCGCTGTATTGTTACTTATAGACACAACTGGAATTGTGGTGGAGGTTCAATTAAAGGCCGGAATTAGACTTGTCTTGAGTATGTTCATTGGTACACCAGCATCAGGGGTAGGTCTACTAGAACGGTGCATATCGGTCGTACTTAAGGCATTATCATAGGTTACTAGGTTTGAGAGGTGATGCCATTTTGGAAAGGACTGCATTTCCATAAGCACGCAGACACAGACAGCGCTCGAAATGTCGAGCACTGTCTGTGTCTGCTCGAGCCCTCAGAGCTCCACTGCCACCCCGAGAACCTCGTACGGCTGCTCATGCGTCATGGCTAGCGACTCCCACATTTTGCTGAAGCCAAGACCTCCTGTGTGATGTGGAACTGCCCGGCAGGGTGGGGGTAACGCTGCCGGATTGACAGACGCACAGATTCAACCAATTTGGTACGGCAATCTTTTAGTTCCACATACTTATGAGGTCGTACTGACAGTTGCTGTGTCTAAACTACTGTAGAATCTACAATATCACTACCAGTGCCAGCGCTTGGCGACATCGAGGTCGTCTTCTTGCAAGGCTTATCCCATGAGCTACTCGTGCTCGCATGTTTGCGACTTTTAGCTCCCGATCTGGCGGTGGACGCTTCAATTTCCTGTAAGACCTCATGTTTCAAGAGACGTCCGCCGACGGAAACGCGCTTGCGCTTCTGGCCGCGGTCTTTGCTCGGTGGAGTTGGCATTGTGAGGATCTCGTCTTCGACAAGCGCCTTCATATGCAGCCATGTGGCAAACAGGACGTGGCGAGGCGCCCCATTTCGTGTGAACCGTTCAAACGGGCGCCCATCTTAACCAAAGACAAGGGAAACAGTCCACAAGCTTTATACCCTACCTTAGCATTTCCATCGATCCGAGCCCCTCACCAGGCCATGCTAGCCACTTGAATCGCATCGTCTTCAGCTTTGCCAGGGTGTTGAAAAGCGTAGTTAGGTCAGCATGAACAACAAAGTTACGCTTGATAGCAAGCGACTGGGCAAATCGCACGGTCAGCGCTGGATAGCGCTTTTTAAAGCCCTTGTACCAAGCTTGGCCCACACGTTCGCCTCAGCCCAGCAAGTCCACTACCTGCGCCTTTCGTATGATCACGGCGCGCTCGACTGGGTGGCCAATGAGCTGTCGTCCTACCACCCAGTCGTATAGATGGTCTTCTGCTGCTTTCGGTAAGAACATTTTGGGCCCAGGCCGTCCGGCTTTCAGTGACTTGCCCTGCGCTAGTGCATGTAGCCACTTTCGAATAGTTCTCTCATGAACGCCAGTAACAGCGGCGACGTCTACCACTGTACTGCCGGCTTGAACTTGAGCGATAGTTGCTTGTTTAAAGCCCACCGTGTAGGTAGGTGCCATTGGGCCGGTTTGGAAACGAAAGCTGCTTAGAATAGCGCTGCTTTTTGGCAGTGATCGCTCTCCCGCCAGCAGTTTGGATTTCGCGCCAAATCTGTATAAATTTCTGTGAGTTTCGTACTTGCTTGTATATCTACAAATGACATGCTGGAAATCGTAATACAGCGTATGCATTGGCTAATACCACACCGGCCTCGAATAGATCAACCGGCCTCGAATTGTAAGTTTCCCTTACAAAAAATCATAAATCAATTTGGAAACCAGGCATTTGAGTTTATTTTTAAGCCTGGTATAAAAACTCAAACCCTCATGACTGAAATAACTATTTGGAGGGGAAGTCGACCTTAGTAATTCACTGTATACCGCAGTAAAAGTAAAAAAAAAGCAGTACCCTTGACTCGAACCGATGTATCAACGAAATATCATCTCCTCGGGCCTTCACAATTATCGACATATACAGCCATTCGTGATACTGTTAATTCCGTTCTTACTCCCTCAATTAAAAACAATTATGTTTAACAGAGGACCCATCCGCTGAAATCTGCAAACCTGGGTTTTGACGACATAAAATGTGCAAATGCGACGTGCTAGTTAATTGTAAAGCGTTTGCGAGCTATGTGCATCCTTTTTTCTATTGATTGTTACCAGGTGCGTTCAGTGTGGAAGCCGATTGTCTATCGGTTTGTGATTGGGCTCCATCCCGTGCATAGGTCCATAGCAATCAAGGCGAGGAGATGAGAGTCGAATCATTTCATCTCAGCTGTTCCATATCATTCCTATATCGTACCCACCATTTGTACAATGGGATGTTGATGAGATCACTTCCCGCGACGTTGTTAAGCCCTAGTAGCTTAAATACCTGGTCAGGGGATTTCCAAAGCGCAACAATGCCATTAAACGTCTTGTCTCGCAATTCCATCGCTGCCATTTCCATGCTGGGGTACTTTATTGCAGCATCGAGAATATGGAGTAGGGGGCCGGGATTCTTTTCGTAATCCCTCTTTAATGTCGCGAATATCTTTGGTATTTTTCCTCGATCGTTAGTGGCGACAGTATCCATGTACGAGACCCAAGTCTTGAGGAGCTGCGTGCCATACAAATCTGCTTCGGGTAGCTCTAGCTTGACAAAGACCTTTCGAACAGACTCACCATTTCTCAGCCACAGTTCAAACATTTCAGACTCCAGTTCCGTGGCCCTCTTTTTCGTCGCAACTTTCGCTTTCGACGCTATAAGAAACGTCGCCACTTCTTTATCGCCAATCCTCCGAGTCAATGTGTCGATCGTGGTGGTTGCCTCGTCGGGGTACCTTTTGTTGAATTTGTTTAGGTACTTGGTCCATGTGCTCCATATCGGGTTTTCTAATGAGCACAACTTGTCAAGTTTGAGACCAACCAGGGCCTCATCCGGTGTTTTTCGACTAGTCAACCAGAAGTGAAGCACATCGTCCTCCACCCTCTTTGCGATGCTTTCGTTGCATCAATCTTCTTCGCTTTCAAAGTTAACTGGAGCAAATCACCATCCGTGGCATATTTTCGTAATGCTGGAACCATTGACACAGTGTGCTCTGGATACTTTGCGTTCAAATCGTCCACATACTTGACCCAAGATCTGAATTCAGGATTACTGAAGATATCCTGACTTGACTTGATCTTGGGCTGAAAGACGTCGCTAGGATCCTTTCTTGTATCTATCCAGTACCGCACTTGCTCTGCTTGAAGATGCGTTGCCATTTCCTTCGTTTTCACGTTCGTGCTCTCCCTGGCCTTTTCAATGAGTTTGTAGAGGGAATTGTCGCCGTACTTGGCAGCTAGTGTCGAGATTGGGTTAAGCTTTTCATTCTTGGTGACCACTTTGAATTCGTCTACGTACGAGACCCACTTGAAGAACTGTTCGTTCAGAAAGAGATCATCTCCGGCATCCTGGAGATGCATGCGCTGGAATGCCGATGCAGCAGATTTCTCTTTCTTGAGCCACCTCCTAATGATATCTGGCGTCACAACCAGAGGCGTGACCAGCGTCTTTACTTTCTCTACGAAAGGCACGGAAAGCCCCCCTCCTGCTCTCTCTTCGTCGCCGCCCCCATCAGTAGCGTGGCTAGCTCGCAAGAATCTCTCAGCTACCTTGCCAGCAGTATGAGCATCAGTCCCGCTAGAAAGGTCCGAGAGAGATATTTTGGCTCTTGAAACAGCAGCGCCAGTGACAGAGAAGATGGTAGCGGCACCTACCAGAAAACAGCGAAGTCGCATTGCTACTGTCCACCGGGTTGTGAAATTAAGCAATGCATCTTGAGGACAAAAAATCGGGACTGTCATGTATAAAGTTTACGTGGTAAAAATGTTCATGTGTGTCAAAAGCATTTTACCACGTAAACTTTATCTCGCGGTCAGCTCCAAACCTTGATAATGTTATACAAATAGAGATGGCAAAAAAACGAGGGGCAGCAATCTTTCACCGAAGATTTAAACGTGAGCACCATGAAATCCATAATTTAGGAGGGTTTAAGTAAAGCTAGCCAAGGGTGGATCACCACGTGCAGTATTAATAGTAGACCACGACTGGCTGAATACTTTGGCTCGCCCATCCTCAAAACCATACAAAAGCACAGTCGTCTCAAATGCTGATGGTGAATAGTTTGATAAACTTTATTTTTAGATTGATAGTTTTTCAAATCTGCAAACAATTAATTGCTGAATTATTCGTTGTCAAACGGATGCGAGCGTACACGCCCCATAGCTCCCTATTCATTGACAACCGCTCGCATTCGTTTGACGTTGGCGGAACGAAGCCGACGTCCATCTGGCCTTGGCGCCGATATGACTTGCATCTCTTGAACGCACTTCAAACGAACGAGCAGGCGTTTCGGCTTGACATTCATCGTCATCCGCCAGCCCAGCTACGCACCCATTTGACTTTGTTTATGTCGGAACCGGTGGGAATGCTCTTACGCTCACTATTGTAGAGAAAGCTGTGCTTGTACGTATTTCCTACTCGAAGCTGTCCTATTCGTCACTATTAAGGACGTCATCTTTGCAAGACTGATTTTGATGTGGTTTCTTGGTCATCAGATCCCAATTCATTTTAAGAAATGGGGTCGTCTCCAGCGACTCAGCACTCAGCTGCTTACGAAGATACCCAATCGAACTCATTCTAAAACTTCTAACATTTCTGTACTATAATAAGTGATTGGCCATATCCAATCAGAAGGCGAAAAGAGCTGAGATTTTCGGCCAATGTCAAGCCGAAAAAAAATCGACAGCTCAATTACCTTCTACCAGGGAACCCGAAAAAAATAATATGCGTAAAAATTAATCCCAATTTTTTAATTTAATTATTAATTTATGGCTGCCAGCAACGGGAACAACCCCAATTTTGAGTAAGGTCTAGTCAAGTTACAGCGTGGGGACGCGCTGAACGTCGCGGAAAAATTAGCCTGCGCTGAATTGAGGTCGCCTAATCTCGAACGGTCGTCTTCAAGAGCCGCCGAAGAGCGTTCTATTGTGAGAGCGGCGTTCAAGAAACGCAATTGCGCACTACGTCGACGTCGCGTACATCCCGCCAACGTCTAACGAGTGTGAGCGCTTCTTCTCTCTCGCTAAGCTGGTGTTGTCTGATCTACGGAAGCGAATGTCTCCAGCCAGGCTCGAGATGATAATGTTTCTGAACTACAATCGTGACTTACGAAGTTTTGCAAATAATTGAATTATTAATTTTCTCAGCTCACATCGATGTATTAATCTAAGTATTGCATTTTCGGGTTCCCTGCTTTCTACTACGTAGTATAAGCTATCAAGATCGCAGGATTCGTCTTTAGCGCTCCTCGCTCACTCAATTATTCGTGTAGCTCACTCTGGTAAAATGCCTTGAACTTAGTCACGATCACTTTCTCCTCATCCGTAGCTGAGTTAACTCCCTTCGTGAATATACCGCTCATAATGTTCTCCGGCCTAATACCTTGAGCTATCCACGTGGAGAATTGCTTCTTCTGCAATGTTGTAGCTTCCGTAGTCGTACTTGCACTATTCAAAACTGACGCAAGCTCACGCTTACTACCAAATGTTTGGTTCAACGTACTGATCAAGTTCCGTTCTCCACCCTTTAACCCAATGAACTTTACCAACGCGTCCAGCTTCTGACTGGTAGCTTTTGCATCTTAATTCTTTTGAATGTTCGGTTTCGCAACTATATCGTCAACAGATCTCCAACCCGGGGTCTGTAATTTCTGCGCGACAGCTCTGGTCGCCGGGTCATCCAACGCCGCTACGAGCTTAATCGCCATATCAGCGTCTCGAAAACGGTTCCTGTAAATCTTAAGCACCGACTTTGCGTGTTTGGGCTCCTTTAGATTAAAATCGTCGACGTAGTTCGCGAATTTGATCAAATTATCGGCCGTGAAGGCAGTATCCACATCGTCGTAAAGTTTTAGCCATTGGAATACATTTGTCGGCGATTGACTTTCACCAGTCCACGTACGGAGTAGAGAATCCTCCATTACCTCGGCCTTGATCTTTGTACGGAGATGGGTCTTTGCAGTCTGCAAAAGCGCCCCCAGCTTCGCCTCGCCACCAAATCCCTAAATCAATGTACTGAGCAGCGAAATCTGATCGGTCTTCTTTTTATTAGTGTTGATGAGCTTGACGTAGTCTTCCAGAACATCCAGCTTTCGACTCATAATGTAACGACGCACCAACGTCACAGCCGGCGATGGCCATGACGTTGGTACCAATGCGTCCTACTTTCTTCTATTTCCTTCCTACTTGTCTTTGCTGACTGCCAACTGTCTTCTTAAGTTGCCAATAAGCGGCCAGGCAGACACACTCCTGACCGGAAAACAATCACCATGTTTGGACGAGTATTGCCAAACATGGAACTTCAATGACAGTCATTCTTTTTCATTTGAATTCACTATGGAGATTCTGACCCGGTTCAAATGAACCGCGGTTCACTACTACGCTACGCTACTTCAAGATTCAACTCAATGACTACTTAGAATCTAATATAGTGAAATGCATACACTTACATAGGATACCAAGGTTATGCTAACAAGCACTTCCTCGTAGCCGACAACATCAATCTCACTTTCCAATTTACCTTCTTCGAGGCACATCAACTGCCTCCTACGCCTTACCTTCGCGTCCCCATCGTTGGACTCTCGCCGCCCTCCTCCGCTTCGCTCCTCGCCACGCGACTCGTTCCTCGTCGCTGTTCCTCTGCGCCGTGCTCTCACCAGTCGTCACATCTGGTAGCACTTGCTGTTTTTCGTCCGGGAGGGCTTTCTTCATTCTCTATTCGCTACGCGACACGTGAAAAGCCGCTCGTTGAGCGTGTGGCGTCGTTCTTCGCCTCCACATTCGTCGAATTTCTTCGTTGCGACCTCATTTCATACGGCTTGCCGTGTTGAAGTTTTGCGTGTGTACTGCACTAAGCGTCTGGTCTATAAGAACCGGATCAAGTTAGTACCCGTACCTAACGTCGCATCCTTCATCAGCGTTATCGTTGATTGCGTGTGTACTGTAAGTGTCTGGTCTATAAGAACCGGATCAATTCAGTACCTGCACCCCTCGTCGCTGTCCACCTGTACCCGACTACCTTTTCGGCACTTCATCGCTGAATTTTTCGACAATCAACCTAGAACTTCCTTAAATCCTCAATGATGGTCTACTGACGCTATCACGCAGAAACTCATCGAAATGGTTGACAAGCAACAGCAACTGCTTGAAGCCATGAGTAAGCGTGAAGTGAAAGTGGAAGGTATCCGTCTGCCTGAATTTCAAGGCACGATGGGAGAATCTGTTGATTTGTACTTCGAGCAACTTGCTCAGTACTTTGATGCCAAAACCATCGATTGGCAAAACGACAACCAAAGTTCTCGAATTTTGGCCATTACTACTGCGAACTTTAAAGGAAATGCTGCCGCTTGGTACAAGCGGAACAAGCGTGATATCAAGGACATGCAGGACCTTATGGCCAGGTTGACCGATGAATTTGTGCCTCCGGATTTGCAAGAGCGTTTGCGTGATCAATTGTACGCGCTCAAGCAGAAAAATTGCTCTAGCTTGAAAGATTACATCTCTCGCTTCCGTGAAGCCATCATGCAAGTGACAGACATGAGTGAATTGGACAAGATCACTTACTTCACACGTGGACTAGTCAGTCCTACGTGCGAAGAGGTGCAATATCGTCGCTGTACAACAGTGTCGCAAGCAATGAAGATTACTTTGGAGTATGATCGATCGCATCATATCCGCGGTAAGAGCTATCGTCCACCGTTCTTTTCGCAGGACTGATCACGCTCTCAGTCCAACAGCAATTCTCACCAAAAGCAAGCCACGCCTTTGCGTGTTCAGGAGAACGAACCCGAGCCAATGGAAATTGACCCAGGGAGTACTAGAAATCGCCGTTCTGCTTCTTCTTCGTCGTCTAACAAGCGATGTCGTTACTGCAAGAAGTCTGGTCATGTCATTGAGCAGTGCTTCAAGTTGAAGAACAAGGAGAAGTATGCTCGAAAGAACCGTCACGAGCAATCTGCTGCGAACTTTAATTCTTCTCCTCCTACAACCGCCGCTGCTGCTGAACGAGCGTCTATGACCCATTTCGATGACGAGGTTGAGGTTGTTGAAGTGGAAGAGATTTCCACGTCCACCTTGTCGTCCATGCATCGTGAGAACGAGCTCATTCGTAAACAAGGGACTTGTGATGGGAAACCTGTCGTCATCATGTTCGACAGTGGTGCTACGTGCAATGTTGTTCGCCCAGGTTTAGTCGCTAACACCGCTACGTCTGGTGTCTCGCAAGTCACTCGGTTCGATGGAACTTCTACGAAAGCGCGTTCTGTGAAGAAAGGTCAAGCGACTATTGAATTCGGTCGCTACCGTTTCCGCAAACTTCAAGTCATGGAATGGTCACTTGGATCTGTCCATGATGTCATCTTGGGAAAACCTTGGTTTACCAAGTTTCAGCCATATATCAATTGGCGTTCGCATGAGATTTCGTTTCCAAGTGTGTCTTGTGCACCTCCATCAACGGTTTCTAGTCAAGCAGGTGTGGAGATTGCTGCTGTTGACTTTAAACGTAACGTGAAGAAACATGTGTACAAGCAAGTGTACCGTGTCAAAATTTGTGCGCTCATGCCAGTTAGTGAGTCGACTCATGCTCCGATCACTCACTTATTGAAGCGTTTTACTGACGTCTTTCCGGAAAGTTTACCGGATGGTTTACCGCCATCACGTCGTGTGGATTTCGAACTCCA